AACCTGAGACATCTATATGAAGTTAACAAGATTAAATGTCCTTTGCCTTTTTGTAGAAAGGAGGATACAACCACTACTTGCTATGAATCAGAAAGACTTTGTAGAAGTTGTATTTACTCACTGAAACTAAAATTGGTGTTATGAATCCATCCTTTACATAGGTTGATTAATATGAATCTATCTCTCAAGAGTTTGATTATAATTTGGAAAGCTTTCTCTCACTAGCCTTTAATCAAACCACCTAGATATTTATGTTGTCAGAAACCCAGCTAACACAGGTGAGGGATTAAAAATTGCTTTTGGTCTTTGTATTTTAGGGAGAGGTGTATGTTGTGTATACACTTATGCATTATAGAAATGTAGTTGCAATCAAGCATAGTTTTATAAGAATAAAACCACAGTCTTTGTGACAGTATAGTAGAATATTGTATTATAATATTCTGCAATTTTTGTAAAAATTCAGTCTTTAGTTTTTAATCTTAAAAATCAATGGTCTTAATGGAAATAATAGCTACTGAAAACAAAGTGAGTAGTTTGGTCCCAGAAATACTTCTCAAATAGTACTTTAAACTACTTCATGCTTTTTGAAATTCGCATGGAAGCATACAGAGTGCTATTGGCAACAGAAGAATTGTCTCCTGCTAATAGTCTCTAAGATGAGGATGAGATTGATGAAGATATAGAGTGAATCCTGTGGCCTGAAAGTGGTATAGGGAGCAGGAAGTAGTTGGCTTTGTTCCTTCTACAGTGCAGTCCATTTTATTATGTATTTTATCCTCCTGTTTTAAAGAAAATTGTTTGGATGCTGATTTGAATATTCAGGTGTTTTTCATGTCATATTTGTTGTTTTAATAGATTTTGGACAATACTTCCACTATCATATCATTAAATTTGATGTATTAGAAATACTGGGGCTCAGAAACTTGTTATTAAACTACACAGCTGATTAAAGTGTCAAAACAAGGATGACCTCCTAGTTCTCTGTTGACATCTCTGTTCAAGGTAGTTTAGAGCAGCTACTGAAAGGCTCCAAAGAATTTATGACAGAATTCAAGGTGGAAAATAGCTTGAAGCAAAACTTCCCAATGCTTACTTACGTTGCAATAATTTAACATTTATTTAGTGCCCATAGTGTGTGTGAAGCAACATGCTAACATTTGTAGTGTGTGAGTAGTATAAAAAAAAACCTGCCAGGTGCCAATGGGTTATGCCTATAATCCTAGCAGTTTAGGAGGATCTAAGGAACTTGGTTCAAATTTAGCTCAGACAGGAATGTCCATGAGATTCTAATCTCCATTTAACTAGCAAAAAGTCAAGTGTGGATGTATGGTTCAAGTGGTTGAGCATTGGTCTTGAGCAAAAAAGATAAGGGACCACACCCAGGCTCTGAGTTCAAGTTCCAGGACCAGCACGAGCACACATGTGTGCACCCCCCCCCACACCCACACAAATAACGTGTTACTATCCCACAAGATTCATGATAGTTTTGGAGGAGAGTAATTATTATATGTTTGTGGGTTTTTTGTGTCTTATTTTGTCTTGTGCTGGTTTGGCAGCTTGAACTCAAGGCCAAAGGCTGTTCCTGAGCTTTATGGCTTAAGGCTAGTGCTCTACTACTTGAGCCATGGGTGCTGCACTTCAAGTTTTCTGGTGGTTAATTGGAGATAAGAGTCTCATGGACTTTCCTGCCCCAGCTGACTTCGAACTGCAAGCCTCAGATCTCAGCCTCCTGAGTAGCTAGGATTATAGCTTTGAGCCATCAGCGCCCAGCTGTTTGTGGATCTTATTTCTATAGACTTTCTACTTTCTTTGCCTGACAATGTAGACACTAATTCAGATTTTTACCATCTCTTTGATATGTTTACACTAAACAAATTTTCATTTTTATGGCCCTGCCCAGAACATACTCCAGATTTAACTTTGATCTTCATCTCTTGCCCCACCATTTACATTCATTGCCATTATTTTCTAATTAACTATTAGGCATTTTCTCCTTGAATTCTTGTGGTCACCTCAAACTCAATAAGTGAAAATCACAACTCAAAAGTTCCTACAACCCATTTACATCCCCAAGATACCATTTTTTAAATCAATAGTAATTACACCACTGTCCAAATAGGTTTAAAATTTTGGAGGCATTTCTGAGTTCTTTCTGTTTGGGGATACCTGCATCTAATCACTCAGCAACTTCAATTTATTCTTCCTTTTAAATGTTTCATGAGTTCCTCTGCATTCCATCCTACTGTCACCAACCTAACCTAGAGTCTCATTTCGCCTGCCTCTTAAGATGTCTCTTTAGCATCAGTTTTCACCAAATGTAGTGAAGCTGATGGAATTCTATGAGATTCATTTGCTCAAAATGCTTTTCCATTAGGCCTTTACTTAGTTAAAATTTGTTGACTTTCCTCTAGAAATTACCTGGAATTCATTGTTTAACAATCTGGGCTTGACAAATGTGTCAATTATTCTCCAGCTTCACTCATTTACTTCAGGCAGATAAGTCTCCTTGGCATAACAGGCAGGTGTTCAGCACAGTCCTGATACAATTTTTTTTACATCATTTCTGTGGCTAGCATTGAACTAGAATAATGGAGTTGGCCATTTACTATGGGCATGACAGTTGGCTCAGTATGACCCTAAGTCCTAAATATTCTTTTAGGCCTGTCTTCCTTCACCAAATTCATTTGCCTTTTACAAAAATGATACTGGTTTACTGTCTCATATTTTTTATAATCTGTAAGTTTCTAGCTCCACTAATACTGTAAGTTACCTAATGGCAGGGACTATGTCTCACTTTATTTTGTGTCACAGGTTGAGCTGAGCATATGTAACACTTGTTCAATTGGATTACAGCAAATCCAAATATTTTAATAGGAACATGAGAAACAACAAAATGGATCAAAGTAGAAGTCCATACAAAGTTATGTAAATTGGGAGATTATGATGGTTACCATTCATACTGTCAAGTTCATAAAGTTGATTGTAATTTAGGAATCAGTGCTTGCCCAGTCGGATCCTTTATTATCAGCCAGTGATACTGCAGATGCAAAATTTATCATTTTCTGTATCATGGAAAAAGCTTGCTTTTATCTCAGATAAATAGTTCATAAATCCATCAACATTTTTATTAAAGTAAGAAGAAAAAGTTAATGGAAAGTGACAATTGCTGATTCTGGAGTTGGAAGATACTGTTCCCTGTTAGATTCATCCTCATCTCAACCTACAAACTTTACTTAATGCACAATTTGGCTCTGGCATACTGGCAGGCTCCTTTTTTGTTGGTTGTGGGGCTTGAACCCAGGGCCTGACAACAGACCCTGAACTTTTTCACCCAAGGCTAATGCACTAACACTTTCAGCCACAGCTCAACTTCCTGTTTTCTGGTGGTTAATTGGAGATAAACATCTCACGGACTTTTTCCTGACAGAGAACCACAATCCTCAGCTCAGCCTCCTGAGTAGCTAGGATTATAGGCGTGAGCCATCAGAGCCTAGCCTTTAAGCTGACTTGAGTTATTTGCAGGACCTGATTAGCTGATATAGTCAATATATAGGTAAACTGAGTAGTATAGTTTTGTTAAGGAGACAGATGTAAATATTTACTGTCTAATGTAAGTAGCTTTGAGTTCTAAATGGTCTATTAACAGTAAAATAATAAAAAAAATTGTGCTGGTACTAGAGTTTGAATTCAGGGCCTGGGCCCTGTCCCTGAGCTTTTTTTGCTCAAGGCTAGTACACTTGGGCCATAGTCCCATTTCCAGCTTTTAGTGGTTCATTGGAGGAGTTTCCTGCCCAAGTTGGCTTCAAACTTTGTTCTTCAGATCTCAGCCTCCTGAATAGCTAGGATTACAGACATGAGCTACTGGCACTTGGCTAATGAAAATGTTTTCAAATTATTAAGACTTGTTGCAATAGATTTGATACATTTCAAGTATATGTAAGCTCTAAAGAATAAAAGCAAAAAAGAAAGGGCATCAATTTCACCAATATAAAATATAATGCAGTTCATTATATTTTATAATTTGTGGAATGATAAATATTCTTATATTTAAAATTGTATACAAATAAGTCTGTTATATTTTGACAAATCTGACAAATGTATGGTGTTAGGACCTTTTTTTGAGTTTTAGGTTTCAAAACAACTTGAGAATATTGAAAGACAGGGCCACTGAATTTACAGAGACAGCTCATCAGCCCATTTGTTTACCCTTGAAACAACTTCTTTACCTTACATTGGAAAAAAATGCTCCTGGCCAAAGATACTGATTTAAATGTCTGAATTTTGGGCTCTGTGTTAACCTGTTCTATTTGACATATATGTAAACTACAAAATCAGTCATAAAAATTTCTTATTCCTATAATTATATTTTTCTTTATTTCTTATATTCATTTATAGTCGGGAGGGCTTCCTTTTGGTAATCCCAAGGGAGAATTCACTTATTTCTAACTGTGGCAGCATATTTCAAGAAAATTTCTTAACCTTTGTGAGTCTCTTTCCTCCTGATCAACCAGAGCCAGTAATACTTACCCTGTCTAAATTGTTGGATATTGAGAGATTCGAGTGGGATAATGAAAGTTCCAAGTCTCTCTTCACTGATTTACCTTCCACAGTCATTGTTCACTTTCTTTCTGTACTGAAGGAATCTGCTACTACATTCAAGAAACTGAATTATGCACTTAAGATAAGATTCTAAAACAAACTGCACACATCTGGCTTCATTGCAAAAATGCCAGAAGTTTGGGGCGTGTCCCCTCCATATTTTGCTACATTGAGCTCCCAAGCAGAAGCAGTGAGTGATACTTGTTGACAGGCTGGTTAGATTAGCAAATCTCTGGGTGAGAAATAAAGCAGAACAGATTCATTTCAACAGCCTAATTGAAAACAGGCACTACAGATTAGTGATCCCTTAAACTCTGGGGGATTGCGTAAAAATCTATTGGTTGAATTTTACCACTATTTTTACCATTATTTGGGGTATTAGTATACTCAAATCTCCTTACCTGCTGTCTTCCAGGTTCGCAGTTCAGGTCCTTTTGCATTTGCTCTCTGAAGCAAGCTCCAAGTCTTCAGCAGATACAATTTACCAGTCCCTTGAAGAGCTAACCCACGATAGAGAGCTGCAGAGTAAGTAAATCTGGATACCAGGAAAGGGTCTAAAAAGGCACTCCATTCATAGAGTACCTGCTCTTTAGGCAAGCTATTTTGCCAAGTTGGGTTGCTGCTATTTTCAAGAGGGGAAAGGGCAGGGCAGTGTACATTTGCTAGCCAATATATACTGATTCTTCTTCCTCTTTCTGATTAGATCTTAAACTGTTTATAAAGCCAGTGTTTGGCTTTGCTATTGTAAAGTGGGGGAGGGGAAGAGAGGGAGGAAGAATAGAAACGGGAGATTTGGCAGTTTGTATGTACAAATGAGCTTTTATCCCTAGCTGCAGCAATAGAATCTTCAGGAAATCATGCAGCTGATGTAAGATGGAAAGTAGGGAGGAGCGTATGCTGTTTGGCTTAGTTCTCTCTGATTTTTATGACTGGAGGGTGATTAGACTATTTGTAGGCGGGGAAAGATAATCCTTCCAGTATATGCTAATGTAAGTGGCATTATGTTTAACTTGGTCTTCAGCAAGAATTTCATCTTTCTTCCACTTCCTTCTGCCCTTCTCCTCCGCACTCCCTCTCTCCTTCTTTCTGTCACTTGTGGCTCTGTTCACATTCAAAAAGCAAACACACCCTTCCTGATGTCTTATGCCCCAAGTAATTAGTGCCACATAGTTTGAGCTATGTTTCTCCAAATCTTCACAATAGTATGTTTCTTTTATTGAATTAAAAGTGTTGCGATTTTTACCCTACTGAGAAGTTCTGGAATGATTAAACTTGCTGTTAGTGGTATACCATGTTAAGGATCTGGGGACCAGATAAATGTTCTTGGCCTTTGGTTGCCACAGAGGACTCAGGGCTGTGGGGTGTTCAGCCTACTTTGGAGAATAGGGGAATCTTAATCTGATATGTGTTTTAGGTCAGACCTTGATGTCACAAACCAAGAGGTTAAGATCATGATGTAGGTTGATTACAGGCATCATCATGAATTGTATTATGAGGACAGGTAAACATATTCATTTTAGCACTTTGCCTTCATAGCTAATAACTAATTGATAGACTTGTCAAATGCAAGTCCAGGAATAATTTTCTGGCCTGCAGGAAAACAGTATGAAAAATAGTGGGGAAAAGTCATTTACTCAAGTTTTGCCCTTTTAGGTACCAAAATTAACAGATGGGGGCCCGAGTTTTAAGTCCCCTGGAATTTTTATCTCCTCCCACAGAATCCTTGGCTGTAGTGGTAGATGGTTTGGGGGAGCAGAATTCCATCCAACCATGTTAAAGTGGAGAGATAACATTTGGATTCAAGACCAGATTTTAATCCTACCCTGAAAGATATTTTAATCATTATTTCAACTGATATTTTAATCATTATTTCAACTGAGTTTGGATCCCTACAGATATACAGGAAAGCTTATAAGTAAGTCAGAGGGCAAACTGTCACTTGCCATCAAGTATAAAATGCTACAACCAGGTCAAGTTGTAGTGAACTAGTAATTCATTCTTTGGTACTAAAGCATAAGAAAGGGGCTAAGATCCTTGAGGTTCAAGATAGCACCACTGTAGATGTGGCAGAGAGGAAGAGCCCTTTGGTGCATCTGTGTGCTCCCATACTTGTTTTCTTCCTTAGTTAATTCTCTGTTACTGGGTAATGGGAATGATAGGGTTTTGCCTTGTATAGCTGCATCGATTTTTGTGGCCAAATTTGCTATAATTGGCAGTATATTTCTTGTATCTTATCCTCTTGTCTCTCTATCATTTCTTTCCCTCTCCACCCATTTCATTACATACCTATCCTCAGATTTTCTCAGTTTAGAAAGGAATGAAGTGCCTAAACTGATACTTCTCTGATGCCTCTTTACTCTTACTCTTTTTCATATTTCCAGACTCAGTTCTTACTATCTTCTTGGGGTGGAAAAGACTAGATAAACAAGTGGGAAGGAAAAGGGGAATAACATGTAGTTAAATGGGGAATCTGCCTTAATGAAGTATGTCTTAAGAGGGTTAAGGAATTTTGAGTCATGTGTTATGCACACAGTGTCTGTGAGCTGCAGAACCTCCTATGGCATTTACATGGATTCAAAGCTGAAAGGGGACTTGACAATTATCTTATTTAGATCTTATATTAAAGTTGATTCCTGAGGGAATAATATGTCTGATTTATCATTGTACCTCCCTTTATTCGGTTTGTAATAATTCCGATTCACTTTTTCTCATATTATAGATGAGAAAGATAAACAGATCTGAGTGAAAGAGGAACAATACCTGTTTCTTCAGCAATGATATTGTTTCATAAGTCAAACTAATGGTACTTTGAGAAGATGGATATTACTGTAGTCATAGTATAGTTTTACACACACCCACACACGTATGCATTTGTGCATGCACACACACACTCAGACTGGGTGGGAGAGTCATGGTTCCAGAAACCTTGAGAGAATGAAAAAAAAGGTTAGTCTGGCTATAGAAATATGGCCCTCATCAATTTTCCTGTTACTATCCCAGGACTTCCCTTGTGGGTATAAAAACAACCTTAGGTTATCATTTCTGGAACTGAATTAGAGTGGGTAAGTTTGAATGAATATTGTAAAATAGAATAGTACAGAGCACCAGGAGAGATGGTACAGAACTCCTTAGCCAATACTCCATATGTTTTTGTCCTATCCAGTGTGGTAGCCATTAAACATTTATGGTTATTTACACTTAAATGTAAGTTGATAAACTAAAACATTCTGTCATCTGATCAGTCTAGCTACATTTCAGGTGCCTAGGAACAATAGTTGAGGATGTCACTAACACAGTGTCATATAATGAAATGCCAAAGTTTAAGAAAGAACCACATTTTTTGGATTCCAATAAAAAGCACATAGATTGATTTCCATTCCTTATGGATTTATGTCTATCTCAGTGCAGATCTGTGAGCACAGTTCACTCTTACAAGTGTTTGTAACTTTATGTGTGAGTTTTGAATATTTTAGTGGGGGTGAAGACAAGGAAGACTTGTTTAGCATGGAATGAGGGAACCTCTTTGCTTGGATTTGTATAGTTCTTACTTTTCTTCCCTGATAGGATTGAAGGAAAAAATAAGCATAAGGATATAAAAAAGTTATATGTAATAGTGCATTAATCGTGATAAAGTCAAGCTTTACTTCCTCCTGCTCATTGTTTGCTTTGAGTGCAAGTAGGGAAGTGGGCTGGTTTTGTGGATCATTTGATAGTTGGGGTGAAAGGGAGTCTCTTGGATGTGTGAGTTTGGAAACTTGCTAATACTCTCCAAACTCAGGAACTTGGATTGGTTGGACTTGCTCTCACTTCACCTTTTGCTCCAAGAGAGTACTATTAGTGGAGGAATTAGGCAAAGACAGACAGTGAGAGAGATTTTTTTAAACTAGAGGGATCACCCACAAGTATGTCAAGTTCAGATTTTTTTCAAGGAAAATGTGTGAGAAAATGAGTAATCACTGTGCCACAAATTCATAGTGAAAGTTCTGCTATAACTAGGTGATTAGTCTATTTTTTAAAAAATATTGTAAAGGTGATATACACAAGGGTTACTATTACATAAGTCTGATAATGAGTATTTATTGTTTTGAACAGTGAGCAGTTTATCACAGAGTTATTTTAGGAGCATCTAAGTCTGCAGCTTCTCAAATTTACTACTCAGAAACTTGCCACCATTAGTTGGGAATGCCTTTTTTTTTGGAACACTCTTTGGGTAAATTATATTAAGTGTTCAAGGAAAAAGGAAAGCTAGTATCTGTTTTAGGACATTAATAGACAGAATGGCACAATGTAGTGGTTTTCTGGAAGCAAGGCGGTCTTGGGAATGAGGAATAGAGAGTTGAGTTTATCAATGGATGTTTGCATCTCTCTGCCATGTTGATGGGCAGCTAGCACAGGCTCAGGGCTGATCTCCACTTGTTGGCTCAGAGACCTAGCCATTCTCTTCGTGATATAATTTGATGCTGTTACTGAAAGGTGCTGACCACTGAGCTCCTGGTGAGCTTTCCAGTGGAGGGCACGCATGCTGGCAGCTTACCTATGAACAGAACAAGCACTCAGAGAAAGCTTGGGGGGAGTCCTTGGGAAATAAACATGGATTTGAATATTCAGGGATTTCAGCAATTGAGCTGCAATTTGGGTCCATCTCTGTGTCATTCTCCCCCTCTTCCTCCTCTCCTTCCATCCTTCTCTTCCTCTTCCTCCTTCTTGTTTTTTCTCCTCTTCCTCCTTCTTCCCTTCTCCTCCTCCTCCTTCCCCTTTCTCCTTCACTTCCTTATTTTTCTCCTTCTCTCCTCCTTCCCTCTTCTTCCTTTTCCTTTTCTCCTTCCCTTCTCTTCTCCTTTTTCTTCTGCGTTTCTTCTCTCTTCCTCCTCCTTTTCTTCTTCCGTCCTCTTCCTTCTCCTCTCTTCCTCTCCTTTGTCTCCTTCCCTTCTTTCCTCCTCTTCTTCCCCTCTTTTCCTTTTCTCCTTCCCTCCTCTTCTTCCTTCTCCTCTTCCTCCTCTTCCTTCTCCTCTCTTTCTCTCCTTTGTCTCCTTCCCTTCTCCTTTCCTCTTCCTCTTTATTTTCCTTTTCTCCTTCCCTCCTCTACTTCCTCTCCTCTTGTTCCTCCTCCTTTTCTCCTTACCTCTTCTTTTTCCTTCTCCTCTTCTTTCTTCTTTTCTCTTTCTTCCTCCTCTTCTTCCTTTCCCTTTTCTCCTTCCCTCCTTTTCTTTATTTAAATACGTTTTTGTATTGTGAAAATACCATACAGAGGGGTTACAATTACATAAGCAAGGTGACGAGTACATTTCTTATCAAACATTGTTGCCTCCTCCTTTGTTTTTCCCCTACCATTCCTGCCCATCACCAAGACTACACTCCCACACTCCCCCCCACCAAAGTTGTAACGTTCGTTTTTTGACATAGCTTCTTGTACATCTCATTCTTGCAATGGGTCCACCTGTATCCCTATTTAAACAATTTGTTTTTTCCCTTCCCCTCCTCAAATT